GCATTTTTAACAAACAGAGTTGGAGATTGTTTTTTAACAATAGGTATGTTTGCTATATTACTTAGTTTTGGTAATATCGACTACTCAACAGTGTTCTCATTAGCTCCATTTATGAGTGAAGATGTTATTACTTTAATAGGAATATGTTTATTAATAGGTGCTATGGCTAAAAGTTCACAAATCGGTCTTCATGTATGATTACCTATGGCGATGGAAGGTCCTACACCTGTTTCTGCATTAATACACGCTGCAACTATGGTTACTGCGGGTGTATATTTATTAATGCGTTCATCTCCTTTAATAGAATATAGTTCAACAGTGTTGTTACTATGTTTATGAATAGGAGCAATAACAACAGTATTTAGTTCTTTAATAGGATTATTCCAACAAGATATAAAAAAAGTTATAGCTTATTCAACTATGAGTCAATTAGGTATGATGGTTATAGCTGTTGGTTTATCTTCTTATAATGTAGCTTTATTCCATTTAGTAAATCACGCTTTCTATAAAGGACTTCTTTTCTTAGGTGCTGGTGCTGTAATACACGCTGTAGCAGACAACCAAGATTTTAGAAGATATGGAGGGTTAAGACCTTTCTTACCTTTAACTTACTCAGTTATGTTAATTGCAAGTCTTAGTTTAGTAGCTTTCCCATTTATGACAGGTTTCTATTCAAAAGATTTTATTCTTGAATCTGCTTATGGACAATTTTATTTCTCTAGTACAGTTGTATATTTCATAGCTACAATAGGTGCGATGTTTACTACATTATACTCAGTTAAAGTTTTATATTTAACATTCTTAACTAACCCTAATGGTCCACTAGTTAATTATAAACATGCACACGAAGGTGATATATTTATGAGTTTACCTTTAATTGTATTAGCTATATTCTCTATTTTCTTTGGATATATCACTAAAGATATCTTTATCGGATTAGGTACTGGTTTCTTTGCAGATAATAGTCTATTTATACATCCAAGTCATGAAATTATGCTAGATACTGAGTTTGCAGTACCTACTCTATTCAAGTTATTACCTTTAGTATTCACTATCTCATTAAGTGTAATATTTATTGTATTATCTGAGTTCTTACCTAAATTATTAGTACACTTTAAGTTATCTAGATTAGGTTATAATATTTTTAGTTTTTTCAACCAACGTTTCTTAATCGAACTATTTTACAACAGATATATTACAGATATTGTTTTAAAATTAGGTGGTCAAACAACTAAAGTTCTTGATAAAGGATCTGTAGAATTACTAGGACCATACGGTTTAGAAAAA